AGTGATTCAGACTTTTTAAGTTTTCGACGCAAAATGCCAAAAAGAAATTAGTAGCCCTCCTGGGTTAACGCCCTCTGGGTTAATAAATAATAGCTATGATATGTTACGTAGGAATTCCGTTAATTAGATGAATCTACGTTCTACGAAACGATTTTCTGCATTTTCGTGTTTTGTTTTTTAAACTTTTTTGTTTGGTTGTTTTAACGAATATGCTTATTTTGTTCCAATACATTCCATGCTTCTAAATGCGTGTATTGTTTCCTCTAGCTTTACAGAAATTTACAATGGATGTCGCTGAGGCAAAGAAAATGCAATCTTTATCTAAATAGGTATTTAAACTTATGAAATTTAGTAAATATTTGTTCAAATTAATGATTTGTTGGGTGCGAACTGTTTCTTAACCAAGTGTGTGCGGTTACATTTACTTAAGGTAAATAAAAATATTGGCAGAGTAAATTGTGAATAAATTGTTCAAAGGAACAAACTAGAAATAATACAAAGATTTAATGAAAACAGGTTCGTAATTAATAATTCTGAATGAAACAAGGATTTCAATGATTTAAAATGAAAATTCTTTCTAGAACTTGAAGTCACAATTAGTAAGTATTGAAACAGTCTAAGTAAACAATTTAATACTGTATTTATTTATATATTTCGGCTGAGTAACTTTTAATAAACAGTTTTAAAGAACGATTTAAATATTTAACATTTATATGAATGATTTTTTATTTACTCCTTGAATTCAGTATGTAGACTTCTGCACAAGAATAGCTATTATCTTCTAGAGACATCAGGTATTTTTGGAAAAGCCGGAGAGATGAAAAGTTAGGAAACGCCTTCGCCGGGAATCGAAACGCAACATCTGGAATACCGGCACAACGTGCAGAACCACTACATCACGAAGGCACGCTAGGAAGGCGGGAGAAATACCTTATCTACTCCCCCTTTTAAAGGGCGACTGAGGAATTTAGGAGACCCAATCGCCAAATCCTGGGTGTGGAGAGTCATCATCCACAACCCTTTTAGTTTGGGCGCCACTGTAGAGACATTAGGATTTTTTTTTTTTTTAAAGCAGGAAAGATGACCCATAGCAAACGCCTTCGCCGAGAATCGAACCACGGAGCTCTGAAATACCGGCTCAGTGTGCTGACCACTACACCACGAAGGCACGGTAGGAAAGTGAGAGAAATACCTTATAATCTGATGGAGGTTTCCAGATTGCTGCTCGTTGCATATGCATTTCAGTGCTGTTCATTGAAACTTGTAGAGTAATCATTTATCCTTTAACTAATTATTTTATGTTAGTAATCTTTACAGTCGTTCTCGCTTTCCGTTTGCCTGCCAGAATGGTAATTTCTAGTTCGGCCGTATTCAATTGATATAGAAATAGACAGTATTTAAAGAAAGATCTTAAAGAGTAGAATCTGAGCCTATTCTGCCTACTGAAATCACGTTTCTAGTTCATTCTCTTGAAAGCAGTGTATCTGCGGTGTTGCATTATTCTCACCATTAGGTTTTTCAGGCTTATGTCTTTTTTTTTGGGGGGGGGAATCAATTCATTTACATCAGGTCACTCGCCAAAAAACAAAAACATTCAATACAAAATTACATCACGAAAATATTAAAAACGCTTAAAAATTACAGCACTAAAATTCAAGTCTTTGCAATGCCAAAAAGTAAGAATATAAAAATGTCACAATTAAAATCTTAAAAAATCCTCAGTAATTAGAGGTGAAACAACCATGTGCTCAGGTCATAAGATCCGTGTCTCTGGCTATCTAATACAGCTGGAGAACATCACCACTATGCTGTAACTTTGGGTCAAGGTCCGGACAGATGAGCAAGCGTTGCTTATTCGTAGAGTCTGTCTACACTCATGTCCATAAATTAAGGATAATGCAAAATCAGGCAAAGAAAGAGTTAGAAGCAAAACAAATTTGACTTATTTGTAAAGCTTATTTATTAAACAAAAGGTAAAGAGCAAAAACAAATGCTATATGTTTGATATTATTAAAAAAATTAGCGATTTTTTTCTCCCTGGAGCAAATTACAAAAAAAAAAAAAAAACCTATTTACAAAAAAACCAATATTACATGGTTGGTATGATTTTTAATACACTTGTATGTCTCCCAGACGATGCAATACAGTCCGTACACTACGCCTAGGCATGCTGAGTATCAAATTATCGATCTGATCTTGGGGATATTACACTACTCAAAAAGCAATGCTCTCCGAAGTTCCGGTAGACATGTAGGAGAAGGTTGACGGGCTGCAACTCGTCGGCCAAGCATGTCCCACACGTGCTCTACTGGATTCAAGTCCGGTGAGAATGCTGGCCAGTCCATACGGGTGATATCCTCCGATTGAAGGCATTCGCTTACGATGTTTACACGGTGAGGACGGGCGTTGTCATCCATAAACACAAATTGTGCGCCCAAGGCGCCCCGAAACAAAGTACATGTTGTTCCAGAATGACGTCCCGATAGATTTGGCTTGCTGTCATGGTTCCAATTTGAACATGCAGGTCAGTTCTGGAACCCAGAATAATTCCACCCCAAACGAGCACTCCTGCACCACCGTAACGGTGTCGCTCAATGATGTTTTCTTGGTGGTAACAGGTACCTGGAGGTAACGGGTACCTGGAGCTCTCCATATGAAAGTCCGGCGAGAATCAGACTGTAAGCTGAACCTGGACTCGTCGGAAAACATCACATAAGCCCACTGTTGCGGTGTCCACAATGCATGCTCTCTACTCCAGGCTAACCGCAGGCGACAGTGAGTTGCAGTAAGTGGAACGCATCTGACAGGTCTACGAGCATATAGAACAATCTGCCCTAAGCGTCTGTACACGGTCTGCCTTGAAATTGTCGTACCAGTGGCTGAAGAGAGCTGAAGAGACAGGTCTGAGGCTGTGCTCCGCCTGTTTCTTTTTGGCAGTAACTGCCAAATACCGGTCCTCATTCGGCGTTGTAACTCTGGGGCGACCTGTGCTGTAATGCTACTCACATTACCATCATCTTGGAATCGTTGCCAAAGCCTGGAGATGACACTTTGGGCAATTCCAAGTTCGTCTGATACTTCCAGTTGGGTACGCCCACATTTCAGACGGCCGATAATTCTACCACGTAAAAAATCATCCAAATGCATCCTTTGTGTCATAACTATTCGGTTATTGCACTGAAATGCTTATAAAGCGCCTGCAAACAAATTTACATCTTTGTCTGTATTTCTTTTATATCACTCTCTTACACTCTCATCATTGTGACGTACCATCAGTGTAATCTGGTTACTTCCTGAAATTTGCATATAATTCTTGAAGATGTGTGTTGTGATTTTACAGGTGATATATTTATTTTAGAGTTCGATTTCCACATGACTCCGAATTATCCTTAATTTATGGACATGAGCGTACAACAAGGTATTGGCCATCAGTAAGTATTTCTATTTTTTTTTTTTTTTTTTTTTTTTTTCTGAAATGTTCGGCTAAGCAGTTGTGCTCTGTACACAGTCTGAAATTACCCAGTGGTCTGCGACTGAACTCATTCCAGTCAAATCTGATATTATCCCAGAGTTTACCCTTCGATTTAATTGATAGTTCTGTATTGTAAGCAAACATAAGATTCTCTCGAATACTTCTTTTAGGGGAAACCAAAGGAATGGAACTCTGTTCAATAAATAACTCCATACCTCTGTTTGCCAAGAGATATGCTTTTTCATTACCATCAATATCTACGTGGGATGGTATCTACGGAAATTAAACTGTTTTACCGTTCCTATTTAGTTCCCTGAGATCTCATTTTATTTTTGACGCAAGAGGAGGCCCAGAGTGACCGTCTTAGGATCAACAAGAATGATGGCCTTTGTAAGAAACTCAGTTCTAGATTTCAAATTAGACACAGTCAAAAAAACAGCATGAACTGCATTAAAGTTTGAAAACTGTTGCCCCATTGGGGCATAGTGTGAAAACAGTTTACAATATACACCTGCGCTAGCTGCATTATTCACTGTAGAATCATCTGTAATTACACGCATCCATTCTGGTTCAGGATAGTTATTATCCAATAGTGACAAGGCATTTGTTTTTAGAATAATATCTAGGGTGTCTTTTTTTTCTATTTTTCACCCAGTATTAAATTATAAGGTATTCCCAAAACCTCCAGCTGATCTACAAGCATATTAGCATTTTCAACAGGAATATTGAGGTTTAAATCATCCAAACACCTTCACAAATCTCGACTGGAAAAATCTGACAATCACCGATATTAGGTCTGAGCAACTTAAGCGTTTTCTGTTTGTGTAGCCTTTGGACTTATTATAATTTACTTAGTCTAGTTAAATTCTTTACCTTTTGATTTAAGCCATAAATGCTGCCTGTTTCTTTAAACGCAAGCGGTGCCTTCTGTTAAATTATGAGTTAATAAAAGGGTCTTTTACAACTTTTCCAAGTCTCAGTTATAATTTCCAAGACATAGTGCGAAGTGGCTTAGGTCTTTAGAGTTTACATTCAGTTTATGTTAACTAAGAGAGAGAGAGACTCTGTAAGCTTTTAAAATCACGCCCAAGTTTATTTATCATTCCTTTCTATTAAGATAAAATGGACACAAATTGTGAAGATACTATAACTAAAAATTAATTCGCAGGAAATATTAACAAAAGATAAAGGTTGTTTTACTAAGGCTAAAGATTTTTTTATATACTGTTGGGAATGGGCGACTCTCAACCTTTGGAAAGAGCACAGCCACTGCAACAATCGAATGTTCCCTTACCCTCTCTCTCTGCGTTGCAAAACATTATGACCCCTGAAGAAATATTGTATATTTTTTCTTTCTTTAGTTTCAGATTCTTACTCACAGTGTTTTTTAATATTATTCTCAAACGATCTGACTCTATAAACACTTATTTAGTACAATGTACGTCCAGAAAGTAAGTTCCGTTTGGTAATAAAAGTAAATTGTGTACAGCTACAGAAAAGTTATTTATTGCACAAAATTCAACAACTCTTAAACTACTTTTCCACATAACTGCCGATATATTTTCAGGCATTTGTCATAGCGTGGCACAAGTTTTTGTATACCTTCTTCATAGAAATTTGCCGCCTGTGTCTTCAACCAGTTGGAAACAGTTTCTTTCAGCTCGTCGTCATTGTTGAAGTGCTGACCGCCAAGTAATGACTTAAGATGTAAGAATAGATGAAAGTCGCTAGGAGCGAGGTCAGGGCTGTCCGGAGGATGGTCAAACACGTCCCAGCCAAATCCCTGTAGAAGGTTTTTCGTCACATTTGCAGTGAGTGGTCGTGCGTTGTCGTGAAGAAAAACAACACCTTTTGACAGCAATCCTCGGCGCTTATTCTGTATTACGCGGCGCAATTTCCGAAGTGTCTCGCAATAAGCATCTGCTTTGATTGTTTGACCACGCGGTAAGAAATCAATGAGTAAGATGCCTTTCCAGTCCCAGAACACTGTGCACATCATTTTTCGAGGTGTCAAGATTTGCTTCGGCTTAACCTTTGCTGGGGATGAAGTGTGCCTCCATCCATTGATGCCGCTTATTTTCAGGGTGTCGTAAGAAACCCAAGTTTCATCTCCTGTGACTATCTGTGTCAGAAATTCTTCGCCGCTTTCAGCATAACGGGTCAAAAACTGAAGTGCATTACCCATCCGTTTTGTTTTGTGTTGCTCAGTAAGAATCTTTGGTACCCAACGTGAGCAAAGTTTACGAAATTTCAGTTTTTCGGTAACAATTTCATGCATTAGTGATCGTGAAATCTGGGGAAATTCCATAGCGAGAGCACTAATTGTAAACCTTCGGTTTTCATGGGATCTTGTCATCAATCGCGTGAACCAGTTCTTCTGTAACCAAAGATGGACGCCCACTTTGTTCTTCATCGTGCACATCACTACGTTCGTCATTGAACTTCGGACCCATCTTCTCACCATTGAATCACTCATCGCTTTTGGTCCGTAAACATCGCAAATTTGCCGATAAATTTCACTAGGTTTCACTTTCCTCGCATTCAGAAAACGAATCACAGATCTGATTTCACAAGCGGCGGGATTTTCAATCAACACCGACATTGTAAACAAGCACAACAAAGCGTACGTGACTGACGGCGATCTCCATATGGCGCGCGTTTCTTCTCCTTGATACAGAGCGTCTACTGCGCATGTGCGGAACTGCGATCGCAGAGCTGCAGCGGAGATAAATTGAAACGGAACTTACTTTCTGGACGTGCCTTTCATTACAACATTGTGTTACCTAGTACTTATTATATTTTTCTCATTATGTTTATCTTTTAGTTCTGTTACATCAAAGCAAATGTTCTCAATTTGATCTGTGAATTTCAAGTTGCATTGTACCTGTGTTATAATCACATTATGTCCTTAATCATTATTTTTAACAAATATTGGATGCGGGTTGCACGGTGTGACTGCGTGATGTACCGTAACATGTAAACTCTAGGTCGTTTGGAAAGCTTCAGGTGCTCATCTCCTCGGAGAAACTCAACATTTTCTTTGTGAACGCTTATAAAGATTGCAATATTTTTAGGGTTAGCGAGCATGGAAAGCATACCAGTTGATCTATGGTACAGCCCAGGTGTCCCCTATACTTTTCCCTGTACCTGCAATCAGGGTAGAAAAGAAGGCTTTTCACTTTCTAAAAAACGAAATTTGCTAAATTTATTGAAGCCAATATTAAGGAGGGTATCTTTAATCGATTTTGAATATAGAGAATAGGTGAGTAATTCTGAAATTGAAGGTATGCAGAATAACGCTGAATATGATACATCGAAGTTCTTTAAAAGCATTAAGACCGATTTCTTAGATAAATGATATGCAAGATATAATCAAGAACTAATCAGTGAATTTCTAAAAAGCTATAAAACACAGGTGTGTGAGGTATCACTCTAGATTTATATTCTGAATCTTTGTTTTGATTTTTCTGTGCGGACTGTAAGTGACAAGTATGAATAATATTTCGATCTGGATAAATGTACAATGAAAACGCATTATATATAAAAATGAAACACATAATTGAACTTTTTACAAAAAGTGGGCCAGAGATAAAATGAAGTTTACCGCAATTTTATTCTATGATAATTATCGTTAATTAAAATAATATATGCATATAAAATAACGATACTTTTTGTAAAAAATAAAAGAAGTTCTCGAAAATAATGCTTGATAGAAAAATTTAGTAATTAGAACTCAAATCAGCATGAAAAATATTTTAAGTTTCGGTAGTTGGTGCAGAGGCACAAAAAAAAAAAAGTTGATTATTTATTGTTCAATGGTATTCGCTAAATTTATTAATTTTCAGTTTGTGACAAATTAGAAAATAAGTAATTATTTTTTACTTATGAAATATTTTTATTATTGAATTATTTGAGATTTACGAAAAGATATTTAACACGCCTCATGGTTCTCCAGTTTTTAGAGAATTTTAATTAAAATCAAGTGATATTTTACTTATGCCTCTTCAAGCTGCTTTCCCCGTTTTTTAATGATGCTGAATTAACTTTAATGAACACTTTCATCCTCTTTTCAATATTTTTTCTCCCAATACTCTAATCAATGAAGTATACACTAAGCTTGCGTTAAATTAAATCGTACATAAAATAATATCCTATTCTGCTATTTTTTTCTTATGTTGATAAAAACAAAATTTAAGCTTAGGTTTCCGAGGGAACTCATTTTAATCCTTTAAAAAATTAAGAGAATTTATTTTTAACTTGCTACTGTGTTTAAATTTGAAATTTTGAGACAGTAAAACATCATCCGGAAAATATAAATTGGACAGTTTCCATCTTCTAAAAAAATATAAAATAATTTACCAGAAAGTTCCTGGAAGTAAAAAGAAAATGAAATTAACTTAAACTCCTTTGTGCCTTTGTTATGAAAAAAATTAAATATTTCGGATTTTTAAAAAAGAATAAAAAGGGAAAACTGAAATCTTTTGCGTTGTTTTATCATGTTTATTTCTATTTTCAAAATGCGGAATCAAACACCTAGCTGCAAGAATATTTAAAAATTTTACTCATCGATGAGCTACATAAAAGAAAGAATATGGATAAATTTTAGTACAAGCCTGTTAATAATTTTAGTTAAAAAATTAATTTTGTGATTTCAGATATGATAATTAGAGGCAGTACAACTATTTTACCAAACAAAAGTTATGCAAAAAAAAAATTGAAAAACTAAGTAATATAATTAACTTTAAAATTTTTGTGCTTTTAACTGATTATTCTTTGTTACCATCAAAACTTTTTCAATAATTTTGGCAATTGGTACGTTTTCAAGCTTTCAAAAAATTTCTTTTTTAAAATGAAAGTTCTTTTGTCAGTAGGAATGTAATTGTCCTCAGTTTTTGCTATGACGATGTTAGCAAATTTGTTTTTTAAGCTGCAATATTATTTGGCAAGAATATTTTGATACTATTATAAAATAGATCTTTACGTGAAACCATGAATTAGAAATGGTATTGATAAAATTAGGTACAAAAACGCCGCCGCCCAGACGGTATAGTGGTTAGGGAAGCTAACTGCGGTATCGAAGAGCCCAGCTTCGAATCCCGGAGAAGGTATGGATGTTTGTAAATGTATAGTGTCTTTGCGGCATGAGGCACTCTAAATACATGGCGAGCAGAAAGTCCTCTCGTGTGGTTTGGAAGGGGACAGGGTGGGAGACCCTGGGACTACCCCCAGGGGTGCTCTTCCTTAAAACGGGAGCGAAAGTAGAAGTCTAATCTACTTCAGGCTCTGGCAACCATTCTTCCACGAAATTCATGGATAAAGCAACAGCATAAACTGCCAGCTATTTCTCTCTAATTTCCAAACACCAAGAGCTCATTACTTTCTTGGTATGTTACCAGCGTGTTACATGCCAAGCAGAGCCTCATTTCTTCAAATTGTTATTTTCACTATGACTATAGTAAATGTATCTCCATATGATAATTGTTTTACTTACTGCCTTTGGTTCTTTGTATGCTTCCTTGAAAGTCTTTATTTTTTAAGTCTTATTGATATCATTTTTTTGCAGAACTTTTAAGAGATTATTACTCATTTTGTCATTTTTTGCCGCACTGTCTTCGATTTCTGTTAGAAATGTAAAAATATATCAAGGTCAGTTTGTAGAGACATTAGGATTTTTTTTAAGCAAGAGTCATGAAAAATAAGCAATGCCCTCGCCGAGACTCGAACCTCGAACCTGTCGAATACGCGCCATTACGCCACGAAGGCATGCTAAGAAAGCGGAGGAAATGCCTTATAAGTTTGGCTTCGTTCTCAATTACGCTGTAAATTGCCTCCTGTCAATCTGATTTAGAAAATGTTATTACTGAGATTAATTTATCAAAATGACAAGCTGAAGCGTTAGCGGCAAGACTGAAGAGACGGAGTCTCTTTGTAAATGCATAAAAATATCGGGGTTTCATCAGAGACTACAAGAGCTTGCTGTAAAATATTTGTTTACCGAAAATTATTTTGCATATTAAAATAAAGTAGCCACATTACGTAAATTTTTGGAATATTAATACAAACCTAACAGATTAGGGCTGTTTACAAATCCTTTGAAATGGATCTTAAGAGCAGTCTTGTATCGTAAAGGAAATGATTATTTACTTGCTTATCTTTCACATATAAAAATATGCAATTTGTCGTATTTATTATAACTTGTATTTTATTTTATATTGCATACTGTGTCACCTATTGTATACAGCTTCGTATTTAGATATGTTATTCTTAGTGTAATCTTTAAATTATGTCTTGTATTATTTGTCCTAATTTGTCTTTGTTTTCTATGCTTCAACACATACATACACTACAGTGTACCCCATTGCTCCTGAATCTAGCTTATCTCGTATTCTGGTTTTCCTACGGCTCTGTGAGGCATGGTCACCCGCTTTTTACCACCTTAATGAATTGTCAGGAATTTTTATCGTCAGGAATTTGTCAGGAATTGACCGACTTGTCAGGAATTTTTATCGTCATGTGCCGGACACGTCGAGCGAAATTCCAGCAATACTAGTGCGGATAAGAATATAAAAATCTGAAATTTTTTCTCAGTAGTGTAAATTAACATGAAATATTAATGCCATGTCTATGACCTAACATTGTACAGTCATTAGGTTATACAGAAGACGTGAAAAATGGACAATGCCCTCGCTGGGAGTCGAGCCTGTACCTCTCGAATACGCTCCGAGTGTGCTACTGTTACATCACAAAGCATGTTGGAAGGAGGAGAAATACCTTATATACTCCCCCCTTTTAAAGGACGACTGGGGATTAAGGGATGCAATCACCAAATCCTGGTGGTGACAAATTATCTTTCATCAACTTTTAGTTCGGGCTCCTGAGTAGAGTCATTAGGTTATTTTATGCTGAAGACGTGAAAACGAGGAATGCCCTCTCCGGGAGTCGAACCTGGAACCTGTCGGATATGCATCGAGTGTGCTACCGTTACATCACGAATGCAAGCTCTGAAAATACCTTATAACATACCTTATAACAGCTATATTCTTCGAAATACAACTTGGACACACAATATGTTGCTTTAAATGTAAGGGGTACAACAGTAACAAAGGTAAACACTATATTAAAAGTGCTGATCCATGAAAGAGAGTCATTATAGATTGGAATTAAAACTATTCCCAATCACTATGGAATCCTCGAAACGTATATTTGTTCACATTTCTTCACATTAAACACGGTAAAACGAAAATATATGTGAAGGCAAAAGATAGAAATGGAGAAATTTGTTGTTTTCTAATAACAAAATTCACCTATAATTAAGGAGGGTATCTTCTGTTGGTTCTTCAAATTAGAGAAACGAGGTGATCTTGATTACAAAGGCATAGTAAATAAGACTGAATTTGCCGAAGCATGGAAAACTTTTAACAACATAATAAATAACTTCTTAGGTAAATAAAAGTAAGCAAAACCATAGCTTAGAAAATTACAGACAACTAATTAGTGAGATTCTGAAAAATTATAAGGAAGTGAGAGGCTAATTTTAGCAACTAGTTAAGCTTAATTTTTCAAACTCTAAATTTGAATTTTTCTCCGAGAGACGAGAATAAC